ACTCTTTATTCATTAATTGAAATCTTCCTATTTAAATAAATAATTAATATTGATTATTAAAAGATATAATTAATTGATGATGATGGATTGATAAGACAGAATAATGACATATGAAATGATGAAAATACTACATTAAAATTTGATGTATTGTCTTAATCTTTAGAATTGCATTCATGATTGCATTTATATGCTAATATATCAAACTATTTTGATAGATACAACTTATATAGAATTGATTGAACTAGCATTGATACTGATACAATATAGTATAACATACTAACATGGCCCATTAATAGATAGTACTTTTTAACAAATTTTCTTATAGTTGATAGACCCCTTTTAGCTTTATTAATCATACTGAATTAACTAGTAATTGATACTGATTTTATAGATTGCTTATTACTTATACTGATAGACTATTATTAGTTGATTTATGACTAGAACTAGAGTAGACATATTAATTCTTTTGTCTTTCATTGAATATAATTGTAAGTTTTGGATATTTGTTGAGTTTTTATACTCATTACATAGTTTTATATAATTTTAGATAAAGGTAAAGAGGATACAGAGTAAGGCTAAGCAGTGATAATGGGTTGATGCTAGTTTAACTTTACTCTAGCATTTGACTTATTTTGGTTTTATGTGTATTCTATTATAGTATGTGATGACTATTGCATACATGCTTTTGAATTTTAAATAAGATATAAATATTATCTGTAGTAATATAATTATGTTTCCCATTATTTGTATTTTTTCCTAAATATAAATAGTCTATTATGGTGATCGATGATTTGGTTCTCAATGAATTAAAAAGAAAAAAAAAGCGGAAAAGAAATAAAATTTTTCCACTTTAAATCCCGAGGTGTCACAAGCCCAACCCAATTCGTGCCAAATTTAGATTGCAAACATGCCCATTTATGCTTTTTTTAAAGATTCTTTCAAATCATTTTTATTGTTATGGATTCAATTTTTCCACTTTAAATGCTGGGGTGTCACAAGCCTAATAGAGCATCCACACTAAATTTTTTTATAAATTTGGAGAGTTTGTACATAAAAATTCAATAATTTTGGCCTTAATTTGGACACGACTTTAGGGGAGGCTAAAATTATAATTAGAAAATTTTACATGATTTAAGTCCATGATGGGAGATCCATATAGATGTCAAGTGAGTGACCATGCCTTGCATCTTTTTAAAATAACTTTGTGAAACAATTTTTTCTTTCAAAAGCTTAATATATATTTTTGGATAACATGTGCTTTTATGTATAAAAGAGTCATTTGAATATCAATTTGATTATGCACATATCTCATAGCAATATTTGAAAAAAAAATTAAAATTAAAATTAAATTTAAGATCATTTAAACTTAAATTTTAGTATATCTGTAGCCATTTTGAATGTCTTAATAAGGTAAATGCAACAACATAAAAAATGATATAATAGGTATGATGGAAAACTTCAAGATCGATATTAATTGAATGACCAAATGGCCTTTTTATTTTACATGCTTATTGTCAGATTAAGCATCTTAATGTAAAGAATATCATGAGCCTAAATTTACTCTATTTTAAGATTATTAAGGCATTTAAATGATAAATAAATTATTAATTATCAAAGGATTCAAAATTATTCATTTAATGAATTGTTATGACAATTTAGCAAAATTTACCAAAATGTCACTATCAAAAACTATAAATAGACTCCATTCTTTATGAGAGACCTTGGACTTGAATTTTAGAGTGATTGAAGAGCTGATAAACTCTACAACCCTACTTAACATTTGATGTCGATGACCACTACGTACCAGCTACTATTATTGTCCCACTATTGTGGTTCAATCATTGTTGCCTAAGTATCATCATCTAACCACAAACACCACCCACATAATCTACTCACCATTGTCTAATTACCATCTTCCAACTATTATCACATGAGTACTATAATAGGTTCGTCATTGTCTAACCACCACCATCTGATTGTTGTTACCTAACTAACTTTATGTAATTGCCATTACTATCCCTCCCTTACATCTCCAACAAACTATTATAAGAGATTAAACTTGAGTTTATTATTTTATCATCATGTATTATCTAATTAAGGGAACGTGAGGACCTTTGTAAATTTATTTATATAGTGAATCATTTCATTTACGTGCATCAAATCAATTGCTAAGTCCAATAATTTTTTTCCCTTTCTAAAATTTTTACATTAAAATTTAAGTGTTTCCTCTGATCCTCTATTTTATATGTGTTTACAGGAACTTTGCGCAAATCTAAGGTATAAAGTCAGCACTCCATCAACACATATTTGTTTTCATATAACATGTTTAAATATTTTTGTTTTAATGTTAATTTAGTTGTATTATTAATTTGGTGGATTTAAATGGATATATAAAAAACACGATAAATTGCCCGTGTAGAGTGTATATGTTATTTCCTTTTTATGTGGGGGGGGGGGGGGGGGGGATATAAAATGTTGTTTCATTTAATTTTTGGGTCATATTTGGGTTGACTTTACAAAAGCGAACAATAAATAACATGTTCACTATTTGCTTCTTGGCTAGCCACCAACATTCCTTCATCTCAATGGGTCATATTTTAGATCAATTTGATAGTATTAATACAAAAAATTTATAAATCACATAACAAAATGGGCTACATGTGTGAGATCAAAGAAAACTTTTTTATCGTTTGTAATAAATGAGTAAGATTAAAATCAAGTGATTTTATGTTGGGTCACATTTAATTCAGACTTCAACCCAACCCATTAGCTTGAATTAAGTAACCGTACTTTACATGTAACAACCATATAGATGCTACGATCTATTGGTGAATTCAATATAATTGGTACACCATAATTATTAAGCATGTAAATGTCCATCATGTCATGTCGGGCTCATTTGATTGGAATATTTCTTTGAGATCAACTCATATCGAACTATATTAGATTCATCTACGTGGAGACTGTTCGTTGGGATGCTACTCGTTGGGAGCATTTGGTCGTTCATTTGGGTGTTGTTTTGGTTGCTGTCGTTGATGCATGTGCAGTCTTCTTGGATTTGAGTGTTGCTATTGATTTTGAGTGTTGTTGGGACTGCTTCCAGTTGGCTGATCCTCTGGTGTGTGCAAGGTCTCTTTGTGTTTTAGCTTTTTGGTTATATCTTTTTGCTTCTTTTGTATGATCATGTATTTAGTTTGAATCTAAGGCTTCTAAGTTTTAATTCATTAAGGACTTGTAAACTTATTTTTAAATAACGCGTAAGCCCCTATTATGGGTTTCATAAAAAAAAAAAAAACTATATTAGACCCATCTATGAATAGCTAAAATCTTAACGCATTGTTAATCATTGTATTAATTAAAATAAAAGTTTATAATCTTATCACAATAAAATTGAATTAATTAAAATTAAATTAATATTATTTCAACTAATTCCAATAAAAATCATCTTAAAATTTTCTATAAATGAGCATACGAAAAAATTTACTTTAAGATATCTTAATCAAATTTTAAGTATAATAAAATTTAGAATTAATTTTAATATATGTAAAATATCTTTAAAAATCAATTAAATTTTAAATATTTTAAAAATATTATTATTAAAATATTTGTCAAAACATTCGAAATTAATTTTTTTTTATAATTACTTGACCTTTTCAATTATTCACCAAGTCAACAAATAAGTACAAACATAACGCCACACAGCCGGCTACAATGCATAAATATAATTTATCGAAAGCACAAAAAACATTATCTGATAAGAACCTAGGTTTACTGGGGCCCACTTCACATGCAGCCTTTGCTTTTTCTGAAATGTCCTATATTGTCCAATATTTATCGCAGTAAATTTGAGAAAAAAAATATCGATATCATCGCCTGAATAAATTAAAATAACCGGCCTGTGATTATGTGCTGACATGGGATAATTTGGAGATAACGCACCACATCATCTAGCACATAGTGGTACTGAGCATCCATACCTAGCAAAAAAAAATGACATGTCATATTTTGATTAGTCTCCGGATGGTGTCCGATATCCGCACATAATAATTTTTTCTTCACTTGAGAGCAATCCTTTAATGATGGTTTTCTAATTACTATGGCTCGACGATGGCCCGTCGAGCAACATAATTCGACTATTGCCCTTCAGCAATACTCTCATGCTATAATATTCCTATCAACATCGCTCACTCATAATCGTTCAATCATTAATGAACACCAATTTTGTTATCGCCATCACCAACAACATTGGAGTATGTCGTTGCCTATCAACTTTGACTGCTTGATGTTAACATCAAATTTTATACTAAGCTTTTTGTTCTCCGCATTTCTCTTCACAAATATATAATACACATATTTTAAAATTTTCCACTGTTACGTCATGAATACTATAACACACTACAATAATAAATAATAAATATATATTCAATATTCAATAAATATGTATACCTCAAATTGCTCATGCAGAGCTCGAGTCACTCTAACTAGTTTAAAGTTGTTGATTTCATGGATCAATCAAATCGCATCGGACTAATCCATGGCTATATGTGAGCTTATCTTATATCCTCTAATGTATATCTCATGTAATTAATTGATCTCTATCTCTTTACTTTAAGCAATGAAATTATAGAGCTTCTTTTGTATTTTCTTCCCCTCTCTTTTTCATTCTAAATTTCTACTTTTTTAGCTAATATTATGAGTAAGATCTGAGTATCACCCACAAGCAAAATTGAATATATATATATATCATACCAATATTGGTGGATTTAAGTCAGTGATAATGGGGCAAGTACCCCTCCAAAATTTCTAAAAAAATTTATATATCATGTATTTTTATTTATATAACTATTAAATTTAACAAAATACTCAATTTAAGCATTTTCTAAAAATTTAAATTTTATTATTATAAATATATATTAACAAACATTAATTATATTTTTAAAAGAACTAATTTATACTATATTTATTTATTTGCCTTGCTTCTTTCTTTGAAGAGAAGAACCTTTCGTTGCAAGTCTTTGAATTTCCAAAATATTCTAGTAAGCAAAAATTTTCTCACTTAAGAACACCGACTTTCTCCACTAAAACAGAGGCAAAACTGCAAAACAAATGGGCAACGCCAACGGGCACAGCGGAGATGCCACCGGAGAGGAAGATACCACTCGACCGGCGAAACCAATGCCCCCGTCGTGGCCGCCACGCCGCCCCACATCAGCCGTTCATCTTCCTCCCGGCGTTGGCCGCGTTCTCGGCCGGCCGATTGAGGACGTGCGCGCTAGCTACCGCTTCATCCGTGAGCTTGGCCGAGGGCAGTTCGGTGTAACCTATCTTGTCACTCACCGAGAAACTGACCATTCGTTCGCCTGCAAGACGATCGCTACTAGGCGACTGGCGAATCGCGAAATGGTGGAAGACGTCCGTCGAGAGGTTCAGATAATGCATCATCTCACCGGCCATCGCAGCATCGTCGACTTGAAGGGGGTTTACGAGGATCGGCAGTCGGTTAATCTGGTGATGGAGTTATGCGAGGGTGGGGAGCTCTTCGATCGGATCATTGAGCGCGGCTATTACTCGGAAAAGGCGGCCGCGGCACTATGCCGGGAGATTGTCACGGTTGTTCATGACTGCCACTCGCTCGGAGTGATGCATAGGGATCTGAAGCCGGAGAACTTCTTATTCTTGAGCAAGGATGAGGATTCCCCCCTAAAAGCTACGGATTTCGGGCTATCGGTCTTCTTCAAGCCAGGTAAATGATTAATGATTGACTAATTGGAGTGTTAAAGATACTGGGTCTAGGATAGGAAAAAAAATGGGCCAGGTTGTTCCGACTAAATTTTTAGGATAAATATCAAATTTGTTGGATTTCCTGTGAGATGGGTGTAATTTTAAATTCACAATGATTACAGTCATTTTCATAAAATAAATCTAACTATCGGTATTCATTTTGACCAAAATTTGGCCAAGATATTCTGGAAAAGGTATCCAATGCGCTTGCTCGATCAAGCTCATTGATTTCCATAAGAAAGGCAGGGGAAATCAATCAGGTTTTTCTAGAACCGGTATTGTTCACAATTAGGTACCATGAATGTAGCATACTTTGTGTTAGCTTTTTGATTGTGTAGATTAACACGCTTAGTAATCTTATGTTTAAGCTAAACTTTCTTCGATTAAGTTTTCTACTATTTTAGTTAACTGTTATGAATAATTCTTCATATATCCAAAATAATCTGAAATTGGGTGTGGAAGAATTTTGGAACTTGTAGGATATTTAAATTATGGCCTTATGTGAAGCTTTTAGGGGAACTCATTGAGGGATTTAGTTATTTCGGTGGATCCAGATTTAGTAAATCTTGTGAGTGTTAAATTCTAAAATTGTTTGTCATGATAGATGTTAAATTTGGTAAAACATAGTAGACTATTTGGCAACTATTTTTAGGATTAAGATTTAAAAGAATATGAAATTTAAGAAGAAAATTATTAGGATGCTGTGAGTGAAAGCATAAACTAATAAGAAAATCAATAAAGAAATCATCATGCAGATAAAGAGATAAAATGATTACTGAATTTAAATTTGATTTATGAGGTGAATTGATTCACAAAAATTAATTAAAATTTAATTTCGAAGATTACAATATTAAATTAGATAATTGGTATGTAATAGAGTACTAACTAGTTGTGCTAGGATTTACTTAAAAAATTAATCATAATTTTTTATTAGGAAATAATTAAAATTAATTTGAATTAAATGATTTATTATAGTTTAGTTATTTTCTAGAGACCCTATTTTCTTAATTTTTATATCATCATAAAATTTTAATATTAAGTTAATAACATATTTAGAATTTAAGATAAATTATCTCATCAGACTAATTGTCAATGACATTTATTTATTTTATTATGTGACTATAAATCCATTATTAATTATTTATTATTATTTTTTAGGAGGATTTACATACATACCACTTTATTTCATGCTATTTATATATCTAGCACCTAAAACTTTAATATTACATGCATGCCATCTATAGAACAAATATGGGTGCATGAAATGAAATATTAAAATTTATAAGTTGGTATGGGTGGTAAGAATGAAATATAGGAGTGAATGATATTAAAATTTTATATGAGTGATATGAATGTAATATTAAAGTTTCGGATGTTAGATCTGTAAATAGTATGAAATAAAGTGGTATGTATAATCCTCCTTTTTTATTTATTAATATTAAGTATTAACAATTCAAAAGATATGAATGTTTATAAAAAGAAAATAAATAATTATAAAGTTAAATAACACCTAATTTTCCTAAACCTTTTATATTCTCTTCATCTCATACAAAAAATCTCAAAACCCTTGATGACAAAGAAGAAGTGAGGAAGTCATGATGGATGGGATTGCATTGAGGGAAGAAGATCAATGGGACTGATGTGTGAAGGAGAAGAGGAGTTTGTGAGAGAAGTGGATGTTTGTAGTCCTGCTTTTGTTGCATCTTGTTTTAGATTCCACTGACAAGTAAATTCAGGACTTACTCACCTTTTCTAAATCCATTAAATCTTGATTCTATTAAATTCTAGATTTAGCTCAATGTGGAGAAAATAGGATTGTAAAAACTTTAAGATCTAATGTATAAAATTGGCAAGATTTAACTTAAATCCTAGTTAAATGCAGCTTAAATATTTTAAGCAAACAAACCCTTGGGGTTTTTTCTAATTGATGCTTTTAACAAATGGATCTATGGAGAAATGAGAATCGGTAAGCAATATGTGAATTAGATTATCAAACCCTTGAGCCATAGTTAGGTTTTGCTTCAATTAAAAATTTCTTTCCTCTTCATTTGAGGCTCTGATAAGAGAAGTCTTGACTTGGGATCTGGTATCAGTGGAGCCTATGTTAGAGGAGGAATGGTGTGAAGGGAAGAATCTTTGGAAAGAACTCTCTTCCCTGATCTAGACAAGACAGTTTAAGAGCACTCTAACAGGCGACAACATTGGCCCTTCCCAGACATAGTGGGAAAGTAGCCTTCAGTGTCCTGTGTAGGTGGCTACACAAGATGATGAAGTAGACTTTTCTGCTGATATTCCATATCAGATTGAATCAATCCATCCCAGTAAGAAGCTGTGATCTGATTATACAAGAATCATCTGTTGTATTTGATAATTGGTTGAAAAAAAGTGAACCATCAATTTTATTTGCTAATTGGTTAAAATTAACACATACTTATTTATGTTATTAAAAAGAGCCATGTAAATCTTCTTGTTCTTTCAGAAGCTGTCTTCTTTATATAATCTTATTCAACGTGATGTATTGCTATTTTCGGGTGCTAAAATTGTCAAACTCAGCACGACATGTTTGGCGCAGGGGATACATTCAAGGACCTTGTTGGGAGTGCATACTACGTAGCTCCTGAGGTATTGAGACGTCATTATGGTGCGGAAGCTGATATCTGGAGTGCTGGAGTGATACTTTACATCCTTCTTACTGGTGTACCTCCTTTTTGGGCAGGTCATTATTCTTCCAGATTATTCCATTGAAAGCTTAATGCATACAAAATTTCTAAAATATGGTATACTGAGTGTCTATCAATACAGAGAATGAACAGGGTGTATTTGAGGCTATTCTAAATGGGCATGTAGATTACACTTCAGATCCTTGGCCATCTATCTCCAATGAAGCAAAAACGTTAGTGAGTAGCATGTTACAGTTAGATCCAAAGGATCGTCCTTCTGCAGCTGATATTCTGAGTAAGTTCAAAGAATTTCAACTTTCACACGTCTTTTATATAAAGATTTTTACATATTAATCGACCTCTTATATTATTTTACTAATTACTTCTTTTTTTTCATTACAAAATTTTTATTCTGAATTATATTTTGAATTGCCAATGGTTAGATGCATGAATGCTTGAATTTATTACAGATTTTATTTTTCAAAAAATCCCCATAGAACTGTCAAATTCTGATAGAACGAGTTTTTTTTCCCCCACTATAATTTGGTTTGAGGATTGGAAAACCATGTATATTTAATAATATTGGACCCCAGACGATCTCCCTTTTTATTTTCTTGTTTCTTCTTCTTGCAACATTGCTTTTGAATTGCTTGTTTTCTTCTTGAATTCAATATTTAATTGAGTGAGAATGGGATTCAAATTCTAGAGAGAAGAAAAATAAAAGAGAATAGCAGTCAGCCATGAGGGGCAATCACGAGTATAGGTTGTTAGGTCCTCGGGAATTATGCCTAAGAGAGATAAATTTAGTAGGATGTATGAATGACGAGAGTGGATAGAGATTATAAAATAAGAAGGAAAATTACTTTTAAATTTTATTCATGTTTGTAATGATTATTTGCACTTCTTCATATCCTTATTTTAGAAATAGGCATATATGGATAATTCAAGCTAGTTCAAAATTAAAATTCTAAAAACCATAATAAAGAGATAAATCCTTTTAATAGAATCATCTTAAAGAAAAATAATTATAATTATTTTCCATTTCATTAAAGCTAAATAAAATAAATGCATATACATGCAGAATTGATGATAATTTGATATTCTTTGATCCAAATTGATGATAATCTCCATTTGGGCATTCTTCTTTCTTCTTGCAAAAATGCTTTTTCCTTCAACCCAATCTACAGATGGAATTAGAATGGGGTTGTAGAAAGAGAAATAAGATAGAGAATTCGAGTAGTTAGCCAAGATGCGGAATCCCAAGAATAGCTTTTTCTACCACTAGGAATTATGCATAGGAGAGAGATATTACATGCGTGGGAGAGAAAATGGAGGAGACGGGGATTATGTTCAAATCTTATTTATCAGATGATGTTTATTTACAACATTTTATCTCTCTTATTACAGAAATAGGGTTGCATGGATAATCAAAACTAAGTTTAATGTTAGATAAATTCTACTACAAAAATAATTCTTAAGAAAAGGATTTATCAAAACTAATTATAATTCACTTTGATCCTTAGAAAGAAAAATGACATCATAAATTGCAAAATTCTCAATGTTCAAACTTCCTTAACGCTAAATATTCTCTATGCTTTCATGTTTTTACAGAGCATCCATGGGTAAGAATAGATGGAAATGCATCAAATGAACCAATCGATATCACAGTGATAGCAAGAATGAAACAGTTCAAGAATACAAACAAGTTTAAGAAAGTAGCTTTGAAGGTTTACTGTCTGCTTGTGATATCTCTGCTTTCTCATCAAATGAACATCGCTCGTGGCTGATTTGCTGTGTTTTCCTTGTCAGGTGATTGCAGAAAATTTGTCAGAAGATGAGATTGTGGGTTTAATTCAGATGTTCAAATCAATGGATACTGATAAAAGTGGAACGATTACTTTTGATGAACTAAAAGAAGGACTAACTAAATTAGGTACCAAGCAATCCGAATCTGAAGTGAGACAGTTGATGGAAGCGGTATGATGAAATCCTTGCATTCACATTTGTATAAAATTCATGATGGCTTATTCCTTTTTATAGTTTATATAGCTTTATAAATGATGTTGAACGCTATATGCAATTTCATAATGGAAATAGCTATTCAAGGGGATAAATACATTCATATCAGAAATCTATGTAGATATTAAGAAGTCAGAGGTAAAGATATGCCATTTTCTTATTATTAATCCTCTTCAAAATGAGTGAACTAATCTCATTTTAACGTAAATATCAATTAATATCCAAATAAAGTAAACTATTGTTACGTCATAGTTGAAGAGACAAAGTATGTAGATTTTATGGTCAAAGTTCTTGGTGTATTTTCATATTCTCAATGAGTTCATGCATACAAAGTAGAGCCTTTCTTTTTTGGGTTTTTATTCATCCGAGTAGTGCATGTTCTTTGCTGCAAAGAAAACTTAATCCAGTTTATGTTTCTCTATCACATTTTTTTAACTGATGATTGTTCAGCACATGAGTGGGAAATTAATAGCTTTCTAACAGGCTGATGTAGATGGTGACGGCTTGATTGACTATGTTGAATTTGTAACTGCTACAATGCATATGAACAGAATGGAGCGAGAAAATCGTTTATACAAGGCATTCTTATATTTCGATGAGGATAGAAGCGGGTAAGTTATCTTCCATAAGTTTTATTGCTTTACAGCATGAGTATTGTACAGTAGATTTCACCATCTTGTTCTTTTTACATAGATACATCACGATGGAGGAGCTGAAACATGTCCTCAAGCAGTATAACGTGTTTGATGACAAATTGATAAAGAATATAATTGATGAAGTTGATGTGGATCGTGTAAGTTTCTCATTTAAATTTTCCACTCATTTCACTTGGATATTGTTTCTGATTCTATCATTACTGCATATTTTATGAAAACATTCTAATCTTTCGTTGCTAGAAAAGTTTCTTCTTTTTAAATAGGACAAAATATTATGATATTAGGTCTTTTTTAATGCTATCTTGGATGAAAAGAAGTGAAGGAAATTTGATGAAAAGTTTGTATTTATTCATTGATTGTGAATTTTGAATTAGAGATTTAAGAGTTTTCACTTTTTTCGACTCCAATTCTTAACATCATGTTGAACCTAACGTGGGCTCCAAAATTTTATGCTTATGCCATTTTGAGAGGGTTTTAGGATTTTCTATGTCAAATTTATGAAATATATATTAAATTGATAATATATTATTTAGATATTTCACTCTCATTCTGCGAGAAGTTTATGACTTGTTTTTATATTTTCTATGGGTATAAGCCCCTATTGTTAATTATCCCTCTTGGTGATAAGAGAGAAATTTCGATTGAGACTAGTTATTAAGCCCCTATTGAAAACCCTCATGTTATGGCTTTATCTGTTCCCATAGTGGTAGATTGGAGGCATTGAAGAGTGAGAGCTAGTAGGATGAGGAGCTGAGTAAGATCAGAAGAGATTTATTGCGGGGCAAAGACAACTATCCCGGTTACTCTTTGATAGGTCAATAGCTGCTATACCAGGGACGGTTTGTGCTTTCGAGGATATCGCCACACATTCCTCACTTGTTGCAAGAGATTCATAAAACAGCTATTGAGAGACATTCAGAAGTCCCAAAGACATATCATAGACTAGTAGGGGAGCTCTACTGTGTGGGAATGCAAAAGGATGTAGAGATGTTGGTGGTCAATTGTGATGTATGTTAGAGACAAAAATACTTGGCTATAGCTCAAGGTGATCTTCTACGGCCTTTAGCATTCCCGAGAAAGTGTGAGAAGATGTGACTATGGACTTCATTGAAGGATTACTTAGATCAGAAGGGTTCACTGTGATTCTAGTGGTAGTGGACAGATTAAACAAATATGTTTATTTTGTTCCCTACGACACCCATACATAGTGGTATCAGTAGCAGCCGCATTCATTAGAGTGGTGGTCAATTTTGATGGCATACTCGAGGCCATTGTGTCCTATTGGGACAGTGTCTTTTTGAGCCATTTTTGGAGGGTGTTATTCAAAACGCAAGGGACTATCCTAAAGCGAAGTACAGCTTACCACTCTCAGACAGAAGGCCTGACAGAGTTGATGAATCTCAGTGTAGAAACTTATCTTCGTTGCTTTGTATCATATACACCAAAGATGTGGGCCAAGCGGGGTTAGCATGGGTGAAATATTGATATAACACTTCATATTATACAACAACCTAGACAACACCTATTAAAATCTTATATTGGAGAGATCCACCTCATCTGATACATTATGGGTCTGGCAATACACCAGTGTCATCAGTGGAGTAGTACTTGGAAGAAGGAGATATGATTTTGACAAAATTGAAGGAACATTTGTGGAGAGCACAACAAATCCTATAGAAGCCAACATATGTATAGAGGAGAGATGTGCAGTTTGAGGTTGGGGATATGGTTTATCAAAAATTTTGTTCTTACAGATAAAGGACTTTGGCTCAACATAGGAATGATAAGCTCTCCCCCAATTACTTTGGACCCTACGAGATAGTGGAACGTATTAGAGCAATAGCATATTGCCTATAGTTGCCACCTACCTTAACCATCCATCCTGTATTTTATGTTTCACAGCTAAGGCGTGCGATAGGAGATCACACCGCATCCTCACTAGCCCTATCTCTGATAGAAGACGTGAAGGTCATTTTGGAATCTATGGATGTAGAAGGGGTGTGTCGAGGGGAATAGGGGCATTGGAGGTACTAGTCAAATGGAAGGACCTATTAAAGCACAAAGCTACATGGGAGCCATACGAGATGATTAGGAGACAGTTCCCATCCGTTCACCTTGAGGACAAGACCTTTGGGGGGGGTAGTATTGATATGCAGGGGGCCAGTCGGCCGGTCAAGCATGGACCGAACTAAGGGCTGCACAGGGCGAAAATTGGTAGGGAGAAAGAAGGGGGTTCGGCCCCCCTTGTGCGACAAAGGAAAATATATGATTCATTATGTAAGGAAGAGGAATCAAGGGGGAAGTATTGATATGCAGGGGGCCAGCCGCCCGGTCAAGCATGGACCGAACTAAGGGCTGGATAGGGCGAAAATTGGTAGGGAGAAAGAAGGGGGTTCGGCCCCCCTTGTGCGACAAAGGAAGATATATGATTCATTATGTAAGGAGGAGGAATCAAGGGGGATTTATTTAGGGAAAGAGTTCCACTTTTGAATTTAAATCTGAGAGGAAATTAATTAAGGAAAGGGGCCTCATTTGGGAGGGAATTAGGATAACCTATTTAGGGTCAACTATGTTGTTATTTTAGCATCATGCAATTTGTTTTCTGCTATAGTTTTTTTTTTTTTGAGTTTATCAGTGGCGTCTAAGTTTTGTGGAAGAGCCGATCTACCTCTCGAGTAGGAGATAATTGTATCTTGCATTGTTTTTGGAGAAATAAAAAAAAACAATCATTATGTTTGTGTTCCTATGCTTTTTTTCTCTTTTATTTATTGTTTTTTCTTCCAAGACGCATCACACCACCCTTCACCACCTTCTCACAATAATTACATTTCAAATTTATGTCTTGCCGTCGCTTCCCACATCAACTTTAATGTTATGTTTCCACGCCTAGTCCTTCGTATGACACGAAATGGTTTTACTTTTGCCTAATGAATCATATCTTTCCTTTTGCCAGCCGGTCGGTCTAGCTTGGACCGAACTAAGGGCTGGACTGGGCGAAAATTGGCAGGGAGAAAGAAGGGGGTTTGGGCCCTTGTGGGGCAAAGGAAAGATATGATTCATTATGTAAGGAGGATGAATCAAGGGGGATTTATTTAGGGAAAGAGTTCCACTTTTGAATTTATATATGAGAGGAAATTAATTAAGGAAAAGGGGTTGATTTGAGAGGGAATTAGGATAACCTATTTAGGGTCAACTATGTTGTTATTTTAGCATCATGCAATTTGTTTTCTGCTATATATATATATATATATATATATATATTTGAGTTTCTCAGTGGCGTCTAAGTTTTGTGGGAGAGCCGATCTATCTCTCGAGTAGTAGATTATTTTATCGTGCATTGTTTTTGAAGAAATAAAAAAATAATCATTATCTTTGTGTTCCAATGCATTTTTTCTCTTTTATTTATTGTTTTTTCTTCCAAGACGTATCACACCACCCTTCACCACCTTCTCACAATAATTACATTTCAAATTTATGTCTTGCTGCCGCTTCCCACATCAACTTTAATGTTATGTTTCCACGCCTAGTCCTTTGTATGACCCGAAATGGTTTTACTTTTTCCTCTAACTTTCCTCTACAGAACCCTACAATAACACGATGAGAACTAAAAAAATTGATTTAATAAAAATGATTTGGAGTTTGACATTTGAAATTCATATTCGATTTTCTAAAAAAATCCAGCATCATAACAACCATAATTCCCTCATAAATAGTAGGCTTGGGCCTATAGTTTGGGTTGCCCCTAGCTGCTATAAGCTTTTGTGAATTATGTTCGGGTATTTGATATTGCGAAAGAGAAAAAATGCATACATGCTTTGGGGATCGTCACACATTCAATGAATTTGATTTCATTGCAACATATATACATGTTTCATTTGAAGACAAAAAGATTAATATTACTACTTGGCTAACAGAAAGAATATAATTGCTCCTTTGATTATTTTCTACATCATTTTGTATGAAGAAAAAAAGAAATAGGGATAAAAGGGTTCATTGTTTTCAGTCTACATGCTCCCTTAAGCAAAAAGATTAATATAACTACTTGGTGGGTTACCTATTGTTCAAAGTGACGACGATGGGGATATTATTAGTAGAATTCAAGTTGGATGGTTGAAGTGGAGGAATGCATTGGGCCTATTGTGTGATAGAAAATTGCCCATCAAATTAAGGCAAAATTTTATAAGATGACGGTGAGATTTGCAATACTTTATTGCGCAAAATATTAGCCATTAAAAGAGAAGCATAAAATTAAGTGTTGCAAAGGTGGGGATGCTTAGGGGGATGAGTGGTTTTAAACTTAGAGATAGAATGTGAAATGAGTATACATGATAAAAGAGAAGCATTAAATTAAGTTAAGCATTGCAAAGGCGGGGATGCTTAGGTGGTTGAGTGGTTTTAAACTTAGAGATAGAATGTGAAATGAGTATACACGAGAAAAGGTTGGAGTAGATCCAATGATAGATAAGATTAGAGAGTCACCTTAGATGGTTTGGTCACGTAAAGCATCGGCCTTTCGATAATCCGGTTAGGAGAGAAGATGTAGATCTGGTCTATCTTAAAAAAGGTAGATGTAGACCTAAAAAACATTTTTATAAGGTAGAAATGACCATTATTTATTAGATTTAAATGAGAATTTAACTCATAATAGGGCAATGGAAAAAAAGATTTATGTAGCTGACCCCATATAATAGGATAAGGCTTGATGTTGTAGTTGTAGCTGTTGTTGGGCTTTGGTCACCAAGTATCGGAGGACTAATTCCACTAATCTAGAGAACCATTGTTTTTTTTTATTTTCTAAATATTGTTTTAAATATAATATTTTGATAATTATTCAACCTGCTCTTGCTTATATTTTGTAAGTCATGGGTCAATTTCGGAATGGCTTTATTCACTATTTAAGAAACTTTTTGTACTTTTTATTGCTAAATTTACTATAAATTTCCATATGGGATAATATATTATGATTTGGTCTATGCTTTGCATTAAAGTTTGTGTAAGGTTTAAAGAGATATGATTACCTAATGAGTTAAAGAAGTAAACTAATTGCATTAGGAAGTGGGGTGCATTATTGTTGACCTTTGCAGTAAAAAAAAAAAAGAGAAATGAATTAAAAATCACCAAAATGATTGCCTTATCT